AACTTTGTGTCATCTGCGAACTTGCTGAGGGTGCAATCCATTCCATCATCTAGATCATTAATGTAGACGTTGAACGAAACTGGCCCCAGGACTGACCCCTGGGACACTCCCCTTGATACCTGGCTGTCAACTAGACATCGAGTTGTTGATCACTACCCATTGAGCCCGACGATCTAGCTAGCTCTCTGTCCACTTTATAGTCCATTCATCCAATCCATACTTCCTTAACTTGCTGGCAAGAGTACTGTGGGAGACCATATCAAAAGCTTTGCTAAAGTCAAATGGCCCATATAGCTGGCTTAGCTGGTGGGCTGGGAGAATCTGGGCTTGGAGTACTGTACGTACTATTACTTAATCTTCTGGAAGTGTAGGTCTGTACAGGCAATACACAAAGAAAGAGGCAGCTTCTTTAGAGCCTTTGGTTATAGATTTTGAGTATGTAGAAGGAACTATACGTTTGGGGGTGGTAGTTTTTATAACCATGCCTCAAATGTTCAGCTCCATGGGGGAGTATGTGTGTGGAAGCAATAGTTGCTGCTTTTGAGAGGGTACTAATTTTGTCATTAAGGATAGTCCCCACCCACAAGTGTGGAATTATACAGGCAGTGTATTGGAACACCAGCAGTTACTGGGGGTAACCTTTCTTTGCTCAGTCTAGCAGTGGTAGACAATCCTCCAAGAAAAGAAGCAGTAGGCAACTAACCTTCGTCTAGATGTGTTCTAACACACTTGGAGAAGAAAAGAGTTCATTCGAATTCCACATAAATTCTTAAAATCCTCCGGGGAACACATTGTGTATTGTTAAAATACTAAAAGGCAGGTAATTTGAAAGTCAAGTGTGAACTGTATTTATTGTACACTACACAGTTTATAAAGTAAATATTAGCAAAAATCAACAAGTCCCTTTCAAAGAAGTATCTTGTACTTTTGTCATCAAGATGAGACATTAAAGAAAATTGATAGTTTGAATGAGCTAAAGGGCAATGTCAAATACACTTTATTGTGTCATTAATGAATGTTGAATTGAAAAATTAGCATTCAAACCTTGTCATAGGCAACAGTAAATACGGAGAAAAATGGACACAGTCTGTCATCAGGATTGAATTTAAGAACCATCAAAAGCAGACAGATCTTGCTGAGCAGCTCCTGATTTAATAATTAAACAAGGTAGAGTTCAAGGCATGGCTTAAGATGAAAGACTAGACTGTCACTGAAAATTAGTTTCTCTTTTTTTGTTATTTTAGACTTTTTTTCATTTTTCATGGCGTTTCATATCATCAGGAGTGCCATTTATTGTGAACAAGTGAATTGGCTGAATGATATAACTCTTGTCAATGTTATAATACAAGTGTTTGTTTTAGTGGGGGAAACATTTATTTATTGGAAAAAAATATATACTTTAGTGCAGATAGCAATGGTTATGAAGTGTGTGTGTGATTTAGCATCAATTATAAAACCTGAAGCAACAATGGATTACTAGCTATGGAAGCATTTTATGAAAGCTTTATGTAAAGGAGTTCTTGGCATTAGTTTTATTACATAAGTAGCCATTTCGCTCATATTTTCAGCCATCTCTGCCATAGACCTTAGTTTACCATTATCCATAGCAGTTGTCCTGTGGTAAGTGTATATGTAGGAGGATATTTGGGAAAAAGAGAAGGGGCTGGGAATGTGTGCACACTGTGCAAGTGATTAGTTGAAAGATGAGTTAATGGTCTAAATCATCAAAATCAGTGGAGTCATTCTGGACTTACATCTGTGCAACTCAGAGAAGAATGTTTGGGGGAGGAGTTTGGGGGTATGTAATATGAGTCAGCCAACTTGAGGTCCTGAAGAGTGAGGTCTTCTTCTAGAAGCTGAATATCACCTGTGTAATACAACCAGCCACTTCAAAGAGTTGAAAGCATAGTGTTGCTCCTTAAATTCTTCCCCCCAGAACTCTCATGCTGTATATTTTACTAGACTGTGACTATTTATGGTAAAAGGCCCTTCATAGTTGCATCTCATAATTTGTGATATTTCGTAGTAAGAAATACGCTGTGCTGCTAAAAGGCATCTTCACCTCCTAACATTTTAAATAATATTTTGGGTGAATATTGATGCTTAATCTTGACTGAGTTTTTTTTTTATTAATTTTTGTTAAGATCCAGAGGAACTCACAGTCCCTACCCTGAGGAGTTTATAGTGTAAATTAAATGGATAATTCAAAATGCATTGAGAGACCCAGAGGAAGGCTCTGATTTAGAGCTTTTATGTCTTCTTTTTAAACATTTGGGTGATAGCATTTTCTACAATGACATGGTTTAGTGTTTGTCATGTTAAAAATGTTTTGAGGATAGACAGGTTTCATAAGTGAGAATGCAAGGAGAAAGAGGGAATTCCTTAGGAATGGGTGACAGTAATTTCAAATTATAAATCTGTAGAAAAAACTAAGGAGGGCCAAAACAAGTTAATAGTTTGGAAGATCCTTAATGATTCTTGATTGGAAATTGAGTGTGAAATCCACCATGGGGTATAATATGAATACCCATGGTGATTAGATTAGTGCACAAATCTAGATTGTGAAAGCAATCAAAATTGATTGGACGGAGTTTAATATAGTCTTCTGCTTAAAGGGCCAAATTCTGAGCTCTGATGTAGCTGCTTCTTTGACAACTGTTTTAGGTCCTGATCTTGCATTAGACTCCCTATGCGCAGCCTCAAGATGCAACATCCGTGTAGTCCAGGAGCTCTAGTGACCCATACTGTATCCAACAGCTGCTGGATTATGGGGGAATGCCCACAGTACATTGAACAGTTTATCAGCCACAGTAGAGGATTCAGGAATATTCTTAAATGTGCTCTTCATTAAGGTGCATATTGGCCAAAATACAGACTAGATGAAGGAAAGCCGCTCTTATTAATACTACATGTACATAATAAAAAGTGCCAACTGTTTTCATGCAATTTATAAAAGATATTACCCTGATTTGAAACTACTACTGTATCTGTTCTAAAACTTACAGTCATCAATGCAGATTTTCCATGTTCATTGTAACATAATTTCATTGCATGCTACAAGCTTCTTAGGGGATTGGCTTTGTTCTGCCCCACTTGACATCTTAAGTTATCTTTGAAGGCACTGTTCTCATTGGCAATTAAGTTGATAACTTTTTTCTTGCCAAATTTCCCCCAGCTGGCAAAGTGGGATATCCTCCTTATTTTATCATATAGTTCAATCTATTGGGTACAGGATGTCTGAAAGCTGCTTTTTGTCAAAAACAAGATAGTAATCTCCACTAGCTACATGACAAATCCTGTAACTTAAAAGTAAAATATACTTGACTTTCTTTGTTGTCTAAACAAACCAGACCCTGCAGCTGGCTTTGCATTGATGGAAAGAGTCTTTTTAAAATGCAATACAAGTGTATGGTTAAGTTTGGTGTGTTTTAGACTGTTTTGCAAAGCTTGAGTAATGCTATTCTGATTGCATGAGTGTGTCAGAAATGTCTCCAGGTATATTTAAATATACTACAAAACTTGAATGGAGTTGACAGATGTTTGAGTTTTTACTTTCCTTTAACAGAGGGTGAAAATATTCTTCCACTTCCTCTCCCTTCCCCCACCTCCAAACCTTTGTTAATATAAAAATAACTTTGATTTGAACATCCTGAAAAGGCAGCTGTGTCTTATTTTCCCACCTCTGCCTTCTCAGGAATTCTATTCTCATTTCCTTATACACTAAGGTTACTTTAGGAAAGAATGGAGAAGAGAAAAAATATATATTCTTTGGAATTCTCAGATATTTTTATTTTAAATGCTGAATGTCATGAAATTGTGTTTAACACAAAAATATTCAGTGTACATTTATAATTTATTGAAAAGGGATTCATTATAAGGAGAGGTAAACATAGAGGGAAGCAGGCAGCGAATTTGGAATGCCTTTGTTCTAGGGCAGATCCTGATTGCTGCGTCCCCTGGAGCCAGGGTGTGTGTCTCTCTGTGCTTCCAATTTCCCATTTTTTAAATGGGGATAATACCACCTACCTCATGGGGTGATGATTGTATTTGTGAATGGTATTTGTTAATATTTGTAAATTGATATGAAGACTTACTAAAAATGTGTCAAGCATTATTGAATATTGTAATATGTATATCATAACCAGTCCTCTTAATAGCCCCCTTATGCCGCACTTATCAGTATATCTCAAAGTATGTCATACGCATATGTGAGCACACTCAGATATACAAAGAAACAGTATTTTATGTATGGAAAATGTCTTTTATCAGCTGCTATATCATGTTGTTTTTGCAGTCTCTTGGATGTGACACTAAAAGAGACTGACTGCAAATAATGAACAACTCCTGAATTCTTCAATTCTTTGGTCTCTCAGTATATTTATTGGGAACAGGCATTAGCCATGATTTCATTTTAGTAACTGAATAAGTATTTTATTACAGTAAACATTTGGTGCCAATATAATGTACAAATTAAATGAATTGGATTCCATAACAACACAATAAAGGCTTTATCTGACCAACTGACTTGTTTGTTTTTGAAAGGGACTACAAATAAAGAAAATATATATATGTTTACTGGTATTAGTCTTGCAAGTTTTTTGGGAGGGGCTTGGTTTTACATGCAGGCTATATTGTCGTTGATCATAGTGGTGTTTGTTTCTGACAGGTATGAAATAGCTCAAGATACATTATCCTTAATAGAAATTTTTTCTTTAAACTGTTTGTTTTGCTTCATATTATAAAAACTTTAATCTATAGAAATCTAGTGCAAGTATTGTTCCAGTTTGGGTCTGGGGGCAGAGGTTACACTTTACTTTGTTTGAAACATGTATATTTTGAAAGCTTTGATACATTATAGAATTTACTGTCCTGATTGATGACAGCTTTGCTTTTATAACTCTTGTTTCTCTGGACCATCAGAGAACCACAGTTGCTCTAGGCTGTTGAATAACAACAGGGGTGTGCACTAATTTATTCTTAACAATGACCTATTCTTTTAGAACCAGATGGTCAAAGAACTGGAGGCCCGTGTCCAGCAGCTGACTGTAGAGGCTGAAAATAGTAATTTACAGCGTCAGAAATTATCTCAAGAAAAGACTGATCTAGAGCAATGCTACCAAGCAGTATGCACTGAACTGCAAGAGATGAAATCAAGGTAATTAATAAAATAGAGTTTAAACCAAAGCAATTCCAAAACTAAACATCACTCTCTGTCTACAAGAAAACCAGTGCTCAGTAATTCAGCCTTTGGAAATTGTCATGAAAATTTAGCGACCCAGGTGCAAAAACCACTGTTCGATACTCGCCAAGATGATGATCATGAAAAAAACAAATATATTTTACATTGTACAATTTTATTTTACACTTTATCAATTGAGAGGACTAGGTGGGTAAGTAGAATTTTGCAGAAGCTTGAAAAATTACATAAAGCAAAATTACATAAAGCTTCAAAAATTACATAAAGCAAATAAAGTGCCAAAATTTCCATTTTATTTTTCCTTTATTAATACTTGTAGATGTAACTCCTTTCAGAAAGAGAAGGATCGCATTATACAAGATTATGAACAGAATATTCAACAACAACAAAACAAATATGATATTGACATAAGTTTTATGAAACAGGAACATGCTCTCTCTGCAGCTAAGGTATGTTTACAGACTTACAACCTCCCAGGAATAATGGGTATAAAAATGCTTGCCTGTCAATTATGTACATAAGAGGACAAATTTTCAAAATGGTCTGTAAGGCTTCAATCGTGCAAATATTAAGACACGTGAATAACTTTACTCAAAGGAGCTACTCACTTTCTTGATGGCTTGGGGGGTCTGTCTGTAGAACTTATGAAATTTGGTTGATATTGTGAAGTTGTGCTATGAAATTGCTGTATTTTTTGAATGCCTCAATATGTAAGTGGATTCCACCCCTTCATGTATGACCATGTCACATCCTCCTAGACCATATACAGTGCAGGGTTGTTAGAACTCAGTGACCTCTCTTCAGATGAAAACAACTTGGAACACTGGGTGGACTCAAGCTTAGGAAAACTGGTTTTATCCTACCCCTCTGCAGGGAGGTGGAAAAATAGGAGCAATGGAAAATAACCAAAATATAGAACAAAGAAAGCCAGGTGTTGGAAAGGAGGCATATAAAGAGAGGAAGAGCACAGCTAAGAGGAGAGAAGGCAAGCTGGGGAAGAAGACTTCATGAAGGAGAAGTAATGCAGTGTGGGGGCCTGTATGAGGGAGTACATCCTGCCTGCCTGCCTTTGTGAGCCCAGATGGCCTCCAGGGACTCCCAAGGGAACTAACAAAGGGCATTGTGGGTTAGGATATGTATTGTTTTGTATGCGATCTGTACTCTTGTGCATTATATAACTACACAAAAGAGAAGTAATATGCAAGACTTCTGTGCAAGATGTCTCTGTGTGTAATATACTTCAAAATTGCCACATTCCTCCTGAGAGAGTTAAATGGTAAACCATTTAGCTGAGCTCTCGTTTTGGATGTATGAATGTAAGGTTTTAGGTGCTGAAAAACTTGGACATGCAAATTTTGACACAAAGCTTAGAGAGTTGGATGAGGCCACTTTGGAAATTTGTTACCAAAAGAGTTATAAAGAAAAATATTTTTCTTCAGGTACACATTAAAATATTGTCCTGTTTTTATTCATGAAACATTTTGTTGCATACATCTTTGAAATAATCAGCCTTTTAATAACCTTTTAAATAATCAGCACAAAAATGTAAGAAAATAGTTTTTTATAAGTAGCCTTTGTGATCGGTTATCTAGCCTATATCATATTCACATCAAATATATATTATAAAAAATAGCGAATTTCAAAAACTGTAGAGTATTCTAAACTATTGACACCTTAGAGACTAACCAATTTATTTGAGCATAAGCTTTCGTGAGCTATAGCTCACTTCATCGGATGCATAAAGTGGAAAATACAGTGAGGAGATTTATATGCACCCAGATCATGAAAAAATGAGTGTTTATCACTCTGAAACCTAAACTATTGATTAACCTAGAGCAAACATGACGTCCAGATTTTGGTCTGAAATACTGGAATGCTAAGATCTATGATAAGGAAATGCTAAATGACTGTCTCCATTTTATTTTCAAATTTCTTTCTTGAATCAGCAGCCTGTTTGTTTTGTTTTTTATTTTTGTTTTATAATTTTGGACTATAGTCCCATCTGCACTTTTAAGGACAAATAGAAATGAACTACATATGACTTGTGTTGAAAAAGATTGTCTTTTCCAAATTTATCTTTTTTCTACTTTTTTAATGCAACTTTGAAAAGGGAAAGAGTAAGTTATTTCTATAGCGCAAATAAAGACTACAAGACAAACGTTCACTTTTCTATTAAATCCCTACAGGCATCTGATGTGATTGAAGAATTAGAACAGAGGGTGTCTGAATTAAAACAACAGTTACAAGAATCAGAACATCAAAGGCAGCAACAGCTGAGGGTGAGCCCTGAATTTTTCACTCAGGAAAAATGAAGAGTCCTTTTTAATTGTTCCTAAGATTTGTATGAATAGAATGCCAAACTAAGATATATTTTGGAGTTCTTGGAAATCAGAGGAGCCAATCCCTCTACACTTAACAGAGTAGAACTTGTTCTTATTCTTTTGGCTAAGTCTTTTAAAGGAACTTTGTGGCTATTTGTCTTGTTTTCCTGTGTGTTGAACTGATATAAAAATGTGTATCAATGGATTATAGAGAAATACAAAGTTGAAAGAAATCCCTGTCTCTGTCTTTAATAGCAGTATCTGTTTGTAAAAGTTAGCATAAACTTGTTGAACTGTAACAATTGTGAAACAATTCAGTTACATTTTCTATCTTCTCATAGATACTCAGACTATTGCTTCCCTGCACCTACAGTGCATCCCTGTTGGAGCCCTAGGTATCTCCTTTTCCCCACATATCATCATGTTCTACCCTTACTTGGGGAAGAGTAGTCATTTTGATGGCACAGGATGACTATGTACTACTGTCTTTGGAAACTTTCAACATTTTTATCTGATAGGGTGAATTGTTGTAAAGCAAGGAGAAAGCACTCTTTCTCCCCTCTTGCACTCATCAAGGTCTAACTTCATTGCCTCCCATCTTATTTTAGTCTGGGAAGCTAGGGACTAAGGGCTTGTCTACACAAATACTTACTGTTTAGCAAGCCAGTGTGTAAATCTTCAGCATATTAGGTTGCTGTGCTCTAAATGGCCATGTGGACAAGCCCTGAGACCTGTAGCTGAACCTGTGTCGTCTTCCTGGTAGTCTGGAGACACCCCATGCTAATCAAGTATTAGTAATAATGCTGTGTAATTTTTTGAACTAAAATAAAACATCTTAAAATTGTTCGTAGATTAATGTTTAATTATGAAATAAAGTTGGACACTTTGGTTGATATAGACCATACTGCGCTCTAGTAAAATGTCCAGATTTTGTCTAGGTAAGGGCTGCTTTTGAATTATAGTAATCTGTTTAAAGTAGTAGTGATTCCTTATTAAAAATAATTTCCTCAATTTGCAGGATCAAGAACACAAATTTCAACAGGAAAAACTTCATTTAGAGCGGATTCATGAAAAAAAGGTAAAGTTTGAAGGAAAAATGAAAATGTTATGTGTACTTGCAGATGTCTTAGGCAGCAGCTAATGATTTAAATCCACAAATCCATAAAAAGGTGAATATTGGGCAGAAAGGGGGTATGTAACTGATGAAACCTAAAAGCTTGTCTAGTAATAAGCAGCTTTTAAACAAGGTTTAAGCTGTTAAAATGTTTTCCAGAAGTATAATGTCTGTGGTTTGAAACATATTAATGCCTGGTATTTAATTCACTTAGGGTGAAATTCACCCCAGTGAAGAGGATGCAGACAGGGCCCTATTAGGTACTACTTTTGTTCTTACTGTGATTTTTCACTCTCTGCTATTGCTTTAGTAGAAGAGAGAGGGAGTTTGAAATTGCTATTGATATTTTATCATTTTTCCCAACAAATACTTACTGTACATTTTACCTGTACCCATACATATGCTCTATCATCTTCCAGAGGTAGTGTTTTGGGAGCAGAAATTAAAAAAAAAAGAAAGTGCTTAATACTTATAGAGCATATTTAATCTTGCAGCACTTTGCCAATATGTACAAATTTTTGTACTTAAATATCAAAGGTGCTGACATGAAACAATCATTCATTGCAAGAGTTAATTATTCCACATGACTTTGTTTTTTAAGTGACTTTTCTTTAAGTGTTTGGCTATTGTAGTGATTAATAACAGAATGTATGTATAAACGTGTACTTCCATGACTTCCATGGCTTATTTTTTAAGCATTAGTGGCAAACTCATACTGTGAATGAATTGAAAAACAGCTACAAATGAACTACTCTTCATTTACTTATAACAAAAGGAACAGTGGATCTAAATGATGCATTGTTTGCTAGATCATCCGATGAAGTGAGCTGTAGCTCACGAAAGCTTATGCTCAAATAAATTTGTTAGTCTCTAAGGTGCCACAAGTACTCCTTTTCTTTTTGTGAATACGGACTAACACGGCTGCTACTCTGAAACCTATAGTGACACTAGGGCTTATCTTCACAGCCCTACAATTCAGTACAGAGGTGCGAATTGCAGTGTGCAGTAGCATGTTGTGTTGTAACTGCAATGTGCAGACCCTGTGGGGATGTGACTAAAACATACCTTGTTTGTGTTAACATAGTCCTAAAAGGTGCTCCCCCTTTTAGGAGTACATTAATGCAAAATAGATACTTTTTAATTCACACCTAGTTTGCGTTAAGCTAGTCCTAATGCCCCTGTAGTCCAGACTGTGGGACTATGTAGGGGACTGTTGCCCCCTTACTAACATTCAGTGGGGGTGTTTTAGTTGCTAGCTCCCAGTACTAAAAAGGGGGAACGGTTGATGGGGAATCAGGAACCTGAGACTGACAGCCCCCAGGAACAATGGGGAGAGGCCAGTGCTCCAGGTCAGCCTGAATGACAGGGCGGGCAGGCTAATCAGAAAGTCAGGAGGCCAGGGAGGTCCCGTTCTTCGTGTGAGCTGGAATTGCCTGGGTCAGACAGAGTGGGGCCGAGCTAAGGAGAAAGCAGGGGCCCAAGCTGAGCTGTGGAGCAGAGCTGTGCCAGATCCAGAGGGACCAGAAAAGCAGCCCAGAGAGAGCAGACCGTGTCCTGGGAGCAGAGCTGCAGCCCCAAAGCCAGAGGCACAGCCCAGAGAGAGCAGACTTGCCCTGGGAGGAGAGCTGCAGCAACCAGAGCCAGAGGGGCCAGAAAAGCAGCCCAGGAAGCAGGTCAGTGCTGGGAGCAGAGTCACAGAAGCAGCCTGCAGAACATACCTGTCCTGAAGCTGAGCTGCAGCAACCAGAGGCAGAGGGGCCAAAGAAGCAGCCCAGGGAGCTGGAGGCAGAGCAGCAGCAATAGTGCAGAGACAGAGTGGTGCAGCTGGGGCAGGAGCAGTCTGGAGCTGGGTGCGGTGAGCAGCGGGGGAGACCAAGGGGGACCCTGGGCAGCGGGCCCAGCACAGGGAGATGCCTCAGCCAAGCGGCTCTGCAGGCCAGGCTTGGATCCTAACCCTGACAGGGCGGGGGTGACACTGGGAAGAAGGGTCCTAACACTTAGAGCCTGAGAGCGTGTGGCCACCACCAGAACAAGTGTCCAACTCACAGCATCCCTACAGCACAGCCAGGCCCTGAGAAGGCCTGGGACTTACAAGGAACAGACTGTGAACTGCCCTGACGTTCCAGAGACACTGTTTGTGATGTTCCCTGCCACAGAGCGGGGTGATGTGTTTCCTTTAACCTTTCCCATTTTTCCTTATCCTTTTTAAAATTAATTGTTGATTAAATAACTTGCATTTGCTTTAAATTGTATGTAATGGTCAGTGGGTCAGAGAGATTCCCAGTGCAGAGAGAGTACCCCGGAGTGGGGACACCCTAGCCCCTGTCCTAGGTGACCACAGCAGGGTTGGGGGTCGAGCCCCCCAGGAATCCTGGGCCCATCCTTGTTGGGGTTACGAGGACTCTGCCAGACAGGAGAGTGGAAGGGGAGTCCTCAAGGGCAGGGAGGCCACTGGGTAAAGGAAGTGGGAGTGAGGACTCAAATCCTTTCACTAGCTCACTTCACTGGGGTAGTATAGAAGCCAGGAAGGTTCCCCAGAATAGCGGGACTATTCCCCCGCTTACATAGACATGCCCAAAATTCAAATCCTGTCTTGCATCACAAGTGGAAATGTTTCAGTGTTATTCTAGACTCTATTTGCATGTGCAAAAACCCCATAATTCAGTCTGGTAAAGTTAGCTCATCAAGAAAGACCCAAGAATTTAATAATGAGAATGTTGAAGGTCAAAATCGAGGTGGGTTGGCATAATTTGGACAGTATCTGGCTACAGAATATTTATGCTGGAATTACAAGTCTTTGGCTGCACCGGATAATTCCTTCCAGTAGGGGAGAGTGAGAGTCTGAGAGTGATAAACAAGATTTCATTGTGAGAGGAGTAGCCATGTTGGATCTATATTTTTTCTCTGTGTAACCTAATCTAGAGATTCCATCCTGACTGAGTATGCTCAAACCTCTTGTAGTGCTAACTAGACTGGTCATGCATTATCCCCACAGAGTGACTGAGCACGCTCAATCCACTCTCAGCTCCTGTGTGTGACAGAACAGGACTATGCCATCCCTAAAAGGTGACTGAGCATATTGCTCAGGGCTACAGCGGCAAAGCTGAACTTTTCCTGTAAGGGATAGGTCTGGGCACCAGAACTGAGAGCGAGGAGTCTGTCTCTTCTGTGCTCTTATTCCCCCTGCAAGGCAGTATGGAGGAGAAAGTTGTATGATTCAAATTCAGAGGGTACAAGACCTGGATTTAGGGCATTGTGTGGGAGGGCTAAGGGAAAAGATTGGAACATGGAGCCTGGGGGAGGGGGGAAAGTTAAGACTGGCATTGGAGGCTGGCAGGGAGACAGAGATTGGGAGCTGGGGATGGAGACTGGGACTGGCAAGGCAATGTGTGGGAGCTAGGGAGAGAAAAGACTGGGGAACCGGAGAGCCAGTGGTTTGGGAGAAACAGGTTGGATGAGGAGCTAAGGGGGACACTGGGACTAGGAACCGATAGAGTGGGAGAAGAGGAGAGAAGGAGCTGGGATGTCAGGGAGAACTGGTACTGGCTGGGCAAAGAGACTGGGTTAAGGAACCTGGAGGTGTGGGGTGAGAAGATGACACAGAGATTGGATGAAAAGCCTGTGGAGGGAGATGGGGAAAGGGACTGTGGGCAGGGGGAGAGCCAGAATGGAGAAGTCAGGGAGGGAACTGGGACTGGCTGGACATGAAGAAACTGGAAACAAGGAGTGGGTTGGGGAGGACTGGCGATAGCAAATGGGAGAGGAGGAGATGGGGACGGGGGGCTTGCAGGGGTGGACTAAGACTTGCTGAGCAAATAGACTGGCAGTTGGATCAAAAGCCTGAACAATGGAGACTGAGCCTGGCTAGGTGAGGAGAATGGGAGTAGGACGAGGAGCCAGTGGAGTAATATGGACTGGGACTGGTTAGAGGGGATGGGGCAGAAGGGATCAGGCTTAGGAGGAAAGGGTAGATGAGCCTGTAATGGAGCCCAAGTTCCCTGAGTCTCAGCATTCCACTGTTGTCAGCAAATATGTCTGGAAACCCACTGGCAAAGTGTCTCATCCCAGGCAACCTTAATTCTAAGGAATGGAGCTGGAAGAGGCTCCACATGGCCTGGGCTCCAGATAAAATCCCTAGAGCTAGGAGATATGGCCCAATCAGCACCACTCTCCCACAACTGGCCAGTGGGTGCCAGAAGACTCCAAGAGGGTGGGAAGAGCTTCAATGAGTGTGTTTCTCTCTCTCTCGCTGTGGGGCTGGCCCTCTTCACCGCTGGCCCTATCAAGTTCCCCCGCCTGTTGTGGCGGGTGGGTGGTGTTACTAGAACGGCCTAACTTTTGAATGCGTGACTTTGCAAAATTAATAATATATTAATGAAGTTATTTACATGTAATAAACGAGTCTTATTTTTAAATGGCACACACAATTTTCTTTTAAAATTATTAATGATTACTAAAACAATTGTCATTGCTACAAGAAAAATTCAAATCTAAACTGATGTAGAACCAGGTCAAAATATATGTGTGCACATATACATATATATACACATTTGAGTTGGAATTATTACTTCCTATCATGTTCATATTTTTTACTGTCTCTTCAGTTCAGCTTTCTTTTGTCTTTCTATCTCTGTGATATCTCTTGAGAGCTTCAGGTCAAGAACAACTATTGTCATCCCATCCCTTAGAGAATATGCCCTTTGACTCCTGAAATAGATACAATAAAGCTTATTTCAGGATGGATTATACAACTGTGTGATGATAAACAACATGGGTAAAACTTTTTTGTTTTGATAGAGATCAGTACAGGTGTTCACATGTTCAGAAGCCTTAATGTAACTGTGTACTGTGAAAATCTTTGAGATGAGACAAAAAAATACATGTGAACCATGTTATTTACATATGCCCATAAAATAGAGGGCAGATTCGGCTATAAAATTCTAAAAACAATAGCCTGTTTTTGAGTAAAGGAAGCATGCATTATCAGGTATAATCTGTTGGCTTAAATACATAACCACTATCTAATAACCTTTATTGATCTATGGTGACTATTCCCTGTTAAGATCCTTGAACATCAAACAAATAATAGGTAATAAACCTAAATGTCACTGTTTGATTAAGGATACTAATCTACTAAATCAGGAACCGGTTAGGCTAAATGGTTTTACAAGTAAAGGAAACACCTGCTTTTTACAAATAATCTGCTTGTATTCCAAACAGGCAGCTAAGTGTAGTAACTGTGATACAATATTATCAAGAGCAGTTCTTGAGACAGCTGTTATACATATATAATATGCTAGGACAGTAAATACTGACTTCCGATCACCCTAATGGAAAATCCTTCTGTCTCTGAGAATGTTCCAAACCAGCTAAATACTCAGACTTCCACACAGTTAGCTTCTGTACTGAAACTTTCTATTAGTGAGTCTTTTTAACTGTGTTTTTCCTTTCTTGTTTTTCATCTGAGATATCAGTATGCTGTGTTGGAGAGTGTCAGTTGCATCTTGTTACAGACATTCAAGGTCATTGATACTAACACAGATTCTTGCCTAGATATTTTCTAGAGATATGATTTCTGATCATATTGTGCAAATACTTTTGCAATATGTAATCAGCTAAAATGTACTGGATTCCTGTGGTTCATATTGTAGACGTTTATAGGGTGTGGGGGTTTATTGAATTTTCTTTTTTTCCCCGTGAGGCTTCTGTTGAACTTCAGAGGTGCTTTGTGGAATCAGAGCTGTGACTTCCCATCATTTGTACATGTTCACAACACTTTTTAGTTGATGGCACATGTATTGCTTCTAAATGTTCTCAATGCCACTCTAGACTTCTGTACTTCATAAACCAAATTTTATTTGTTTGCTCCATCTGTTCTTTTTCTCTCTCTGATGTAATTTCATCACACTCATTACTTTGAAATTAACAAATATTTAATGCCCACTTTATCCTAATATCAATTCTTATATACCATCAATAAATATAATAATTTATGCAGAACCATGCAATCTCTTCAATTAGGTATGCATAAAATTGTGCACCTATTTCCTGAGCCTCTGAGAATATTCATATGAATCAAACATCATGCTGCAAATAATTGGGTGCTAGAAGAACAGCCCCTAAATTTACTACGATCTTTGTCACAAAGATCTCTACACTATTACCTCAGCAGTGCTAAAAAAAACAAAAAACAAAAAAAAATCCAAACCAAAACCTTGACACCTAACCTGCCTTAGGCAAAAACCAATGTGAACAGATGTGCTTTGTACCATGCCTGGAAGGTTGACAAACACTGAAACTCACTTCCCCCTATTGGTCCAACAGAATCAGAGTAAAGAACCCTCCATGGATTAAAATTTGCTACTAGCCACCTGACACTAAAAGGTAGGGCATGTTAGAAAAAGCCTAGGAGCTCAGAAATGGTTTACAGGGAGAGAGGTGATCTCAGATAGCTAGGATCTATACCATGTAAGGACTTAAAAGAACAAAATTGTCAGCTTGGTTGCTCCCAGAAGTCAGTAATCTTTTTAAAAAATCATTATTATTTACTACTTGTATTATAATAGCACCCAAAATGTGCTGGGTGCTGTGCAAACATTTAAAGCAGTCCTTGCTTCAAAGAGTTTATAATCTAAATAGATTTAAAAAAAGAGAAAAAAGACGAAATTAGAAGAAATGGGGCCTGTAAGATAGAGTAAGCATGTGTGTCTGTACACATCTTTTGGAATCTGTACATGTGACAGGAGGAAAGGTGTGTGTGTGTGTGTGTGTGTGTGTAAAAGTATATACATATATTGGCTGACTGAGGGAGTTATATTTATGTTAAAGATTCTGTAAACTGTAATGGGTGTGCATTTGTTTGGGTGTTTCGGTGAGATGCACAGTTCACATACGCTGCAAAATTACAGTACCCAAGAATTTCAAAATGAGAACAGATTAATAAACCTTGACTTATCTTGTGCTTGTTGAAGAATGTGGCTGAGAGTATATGCAGTCTTTCTCACATGCTTGTTGAATCACTCTCACTTTTTATTTCAATGAGGGTGAAGAATTCTAGAGTAGTGCAGTTCTCTTCTTCCTCTGTGTCTTTTCTTTCCCCGGGGCAACTGCTCTTGGATGCCATAGTATCTGAATGTATGTTATACTGTGGCCAGTATGCTTAAGTAACTTTGTTAACCCATTTAATCATATTTTAAAAAAATGCTTTGTGAAAAAATCATCTTTATAAAAATCCATTGTAAGTTTAAATTCAAAACAAGTCAATGAGTAGGAACTTCTGTCTAGGCTATTAGGCAAAGATATGGTTCAGACAAATCTCTCTCTCTTATTATCTACCCTTTATTTCATGATCTCTCAGTATCCTCATATGGCAATTGATACTGAAGAAAAAACTAGTTCTTTTTAATACAGTTACTGTATTTTTAACACTAGAAGTTTAACATTTCTTTGGACAGGAAGAAAAATCACACTAGTAGAGAAGGTTATATTCTGATAGCTTCAGCCTGCTGCTAATTTTGTCCCCAAACTTTGTTTGAACTATGGAAACATCACGTTACATATGTTGATTATATTTCAACAACTTCTTATCTAAACCTATATGAAACTAATTTGTTGAGTTCAAAATTGAAATAATGTTTAATCATTCTGTTGATCACATGCTGTAGTAGCTAAAATGTAAATTTTTTCTTTGAAATGATAGATTCATGGCTTCCAAAATGACCTTGATAAAGAGAGAGAGGATGCTCAAAAGAAAATTCGCAAACTGGAAGAGGCTTTGAAGTAAGTGAGACGTGATAAAGAATAATTTTTTTCTTTAAATGTCTCTGTTTTTATTCAAATTCAGTAAGTAGACCATATGCTTTGTGTTTTATAACAACACTCCTATAGTTTAGTTTGGGTCAGCTTTCCATTATAAAACCTTATTTTTAGGGTTTTATTAGTCAGCTGTAAAAATTAAAAAAAAAAAATCAGTTCATCTGGTTTTAAGTGATAGGAATGTAACAAAATAGAACTTAGTGGTTTCAGATGCTCTATTCCCCTTAAGTAACTCAAACCAGCTTCAGTTTAGAACTGACATGTTTGCAGTCCATATTCCTTACTGAAGATTAGTTGTTGTGGACATTTATTAGGGGGATCAGGTTACAATTGAAATGTTCATGTATTGTTGTTGTTTATTTGTATTGTGGTAGTTCCTAAAGTTCCTAGGTACTATACAAACAGGATTCAGTGGTTAAGATGCTAGCTTGAGACTCGGAAGACTTGGGTTCAATTCTCTGTACCATTACAGATTTCCTTTGTGACCTTGAGCAAGTCACCTAGTTTCTGTGCCTCAGTTCCCCATCTGTAAAATGGGGATAATAGTACCCCCCACGGTATTTCCTTACGCTTCAGATCTCTTGTGAGTATAAATATATTAATGATTGGGAAGTGCTCAGATATTGCAGTGAGGGGCATTATATAAGTATATAAGATTGAAAGATATAAAAAAGAGACAGTTCCTGTCCCAAAGAGATTACAATCTAAGTATAAAATGAAAGACAACAGGTGGATACAACAAATAGACTCGGGGAGTTTGAGGAACAATACCAATCTGCATGATAGCAGCCGTCATGACACACACCTTCTGTTCCGTTGTTGAGTTTGTAGTAGGCATTATGATAGAGGAGAGTTGGAAGGAGGGATTTGAAGAAGGAAAATGTGGTACCTTTGCACATTTCTATATGGAGCTCCTCTCATTCAAAAGGGGGAATCATGGGAGAAAGTGTGAAGGTGCCTGTTGAAAAATTTTACAAATTGGTGGGCAAGGTAGGCATCAGTTGCACAGTGGGTCCAGGGATTGACATCTTGATACTGTATAAGATATTATAAGTAGGGCAGGGATATGCCATGAAATCCTTAAAATGAAGACAGATCATATGTGTTAGATATGGTGGAGGATGGAGAGCCAGTAGAGGGTTAGTCAAAGCAATGGCCCAGGAAAATAATCTGTGCAGCACCATTTTGGAAGGATGTAAGTGGTCAAGATGGAATTTGTCACGGCCAGAGAGAAGGAGGTTGCAGTAGTCAAGATGATGAGGACCTGGATGAGAATTTTAGCTGTATGGACTGAGAATAAAGACCAGATCTTAGAGGTGTTATGCAGGAAGAAGGCACAGGTTAACTTATCCGTTTTATTTCACTAAAAAGTGACTACTGGAAATGCACACTAACATTATTTTCAGGAAAGAATCATAAGAAATTGTATCACTTAGATTTAAAAAGGCTGATTCGGATCTAAGATGCTGTATTTGAGCTCATTTTGTGTGTCATATTGCATCTAGTAAGTGATTTTCCAGGATTTGTCCCTTGTATCTGAAGGCAGAATCTGGGTTTAAAACCTACATTTCAATTGTTTTGACATAATACATCTAGTATGACAGCTTTTCACACTCTAAGTAGCCCATTGTGTCAATGATTAATGAACAAAGTAGACTACCTCATTTAATGTGGAGTAAACCTTTTGTAGTGTCTGATCTAAAGTGTAGTATCTGAGTCTAAGCACAGGGGGCCAAAATTAAAGTCAGAGGCCTAGATTCTAATCTTTGATGTGTACTTTGAAATGCTATGTGTCTTGAAAATTCACTGCCATGCTAATTCAGTCGTGAATTTTTCAAGCTATGTGAAGAGACATGCTGTACATCTGAGTTTAGATTTTAATGTGGGCGACGATTTTTCCAAATTGAGCTATTTAATTGGCTGTTTAAATCTGATAACTGGATTCTCAAATCAACACTTAGGTGTAATAAAAGAGCTATTTATGTTCTTAAGTGGTCATTGGAACATTCCAGCATATTGAGACATCCACTTTTGAAAATGTTGACATGTAATGTTAATTTAGGGCCAGTCATTCTTAATAGTGTTGAGTAGTACCTTAATCTGTAAATAATCCTATTGATTTAAAAGAGAAAGAACTGGATAAATTTGAAATCTTTCATTGCAAAGCATGCTCAGTTTTGCTTCAGAGTGAGATGGACAGAGACTGTATCTGATGCATTCTATTGGACTGAAGCAAAGATCTCCTTCATACTTCTCTACTAGTTACATTATTTTTATTGGTGATCAGAAAAATCAGATTAGGCCAGTATCCTTCTGAGTACTCTAGATTTGACAGGCAGGGGATGGTATTGAGATCTTCTGGAGCAGTCATGAGAAAGCCCCCATATCATTTTATATATATAATTTATATTGACACCCATAGATCCCCAGTTGGGACTGGAGATCCATTGTTTTGGACTTGTACAAACATAGATAAGAGACAGTCCCTGCTCCAGAGAGTTTACAATCTAAATCATCATATAACAGTGTCACCTGACCTCCTAACGCACAGTTCTTCTTCAAGTGACTATACATGTGCATTCCAGTCTTGGTGTTGGTGAGCCCAGCACAGGGTCATTGAAAACTTTTTCCCTCAGCTGTATCCATTTGGTGGCTCAAGCTCCCATTGCTGCCGTGCATCACTGCATGAAGGTGTAAAGGGCAAAGCCTCCCCGAAGACCCCTCATTTCCTTCTTACTGCCTGTGACGGTCGTCGGAACTCTGTTCAGTACCAAAACAGTTCTCTCTCTCCCAGCATTTGTAAATATAGTGTGTGTTTATATAGTTAGATTAGTCTTCAGTATATTAGGATAGTAAGTTTTAGTTGTGTTTTTAAAAAAAAAAAAAAAAGATTTTGGACTTGTTTTCCTGTTTGCAAGCTAGACATGGTGCAAGATTTGGACGAGTTGTCCTTCAGTCCCTGTTTAGAAAGGCTCTGATCCCATCATCTGTTTTTATGACTTGTGAGTCACTAGGAGTGGAATGCACATGTGCAATCGCTCAAAGCAGAAAAAATGGTTACCGACCTGTTCCATAACTGTTGTTCTTCAAGATGTGTTGCAAATGTCCACTCCACAACCCGCCCTCCTACCCCTCTGCATTGGAGTTTTCTGTCTAAAAGGACCTGGTGGTGGTTGGAGGTGACTCCACTCTTTATACCTGCGTGCAGTGTGAGCTGCCCCAATGAGTACCATGGAGGGAGAAAAATTCTGACAACTGAGCTAGAGGCACACACCCCTACAGTATAATAGATATGTAGAAAACATCTCAAAGAGTAGGTTACAGAAAAGTTTAGTAACTTTTTTTTCCTGAGCAATGGAAAAGAACTTATCTCTGGGCAACAGATAACCTGTCCCCAGGTGTGCCCCAATTTTATCTATTCTGGACTATGTATTATACCTGAAGTCTGAGCTTTTCCTTGTCACCATTCAAAGTGATCTATCGACATCTCAACGTACTGTTTTCGGTTGGCAATTGAAAATTCTTCAGCCATTCCACTATTATAAGATTCCTCAAAGGACTAGTTAAGATATCTCCACTAGTCAGAAAACCTGTCCTGATCTGGGATCTTGGAGCTGACAAAGTTAATGGATGTTCCTTTTGAATAACTGGGAGAGTGCTTTTTAATTTAACCTGTTGCTGAAGACATTTACAGTTAAAAATGTCAGGTCATGTCAGACTTAGAGCCAACTGCTCACCATGGCCCACATGTGCCTGCGACTGATGGCCGCGTGCACCTACATGGTAAGCCGTGCCTGGCTTCATCTGAGGGCCCTGCAAATGTGGCTGGCCTCGGTTTACGTTCCCAGCAGGCACCCCCTGGACTGAGTGGTTGCGGTGCTGAGCCATGTCCTCGCGTCTCTGGACTGGTGATGGGATCCCAAGTCAGTGCTGCAGGGAGTCCCCTTCGTCACCCCAGGCCCCCCTGCTCACTTTGATCTCAGACACATCTGATCTGGGCTGGGGAGCCCATCTGAACAAGCTCAATACCCAGGGCCGTTGGTTGCAACACGACCTAACCCTTCAAATCAATGTCCGGAAGCTCAGAGCAGTTCGCATGGTGGTGCAGGTCCTGACGGGCAATACTGCTGCAATGTGCTACATCAACATGCAGGGCGGTGCTGGGTCTTTGGCCCTTTGTAGGGAAGCACTTAGCCTCTGGGACTTTTGTTTGTGGCATGCCATTCATTTGCGGGCTGCACACCTGCCCGGAACCAAGAACATCCTGGTGGATCGCCTTGGCAGATCCTTCTTGTCTCTCCATGAATGCTCACTCCATCCGGAGGTGGTCAGCCTAATTTTCCGCAGGTGAGGAACTCCCCAGGTGGACCTGTTAACATCCAGACAGAACAGGAAGTGCCATGTGTTCTGTTCTCTGCTGGGGAGGGACAAGGGCTCCGTGTCGGATGCCTTTCTGATTCTGTGGTCAGGAGCATTGATGTACGCCTTCCTGCCAGTGCTGTTAATCCACAGAGTCCTGCTCAGGGTGAAGCAGGACAGAGCCACCCAGTTGCAACTTCCTCTAAGGCTGAGTCTACTGTCCCAGAACCATGTGACCCTGCTGCATCTGAACTTGGCAGCGCTTTACTTGATGTCCTTGTTTCTGTGTGGCTGAGCGGGAAAGAACGGCAGTGTTCCGCCGGTGTCCAGCAGGTCCTGCTGGGCAGCAGGAAACCCTCCACTAGGGCTACCTATGCGGCTAAGTGGAAGCGGTTCACGTGTTGCTGTCGTGGACCGGATGAAGGGTTGCCTAGTGTCTACCCAGAGAATCTCATCCTGAATCATGGTTTGCATCTGCTGCTGGTATGAGCTGGCGAAAGTGCCCCTGCCAGCGATCGTGATGGCTCACTCAACTAGGGCGCACGCATCATCGGTGCAGGCATCATTAGTGCATGTGGACGCGTGCCCACGTACAATGGAATGGA